ACTAAAAATGTAACACCATATCATATTTATCTTACGATAACTTTTTATACAATTCACATAATTTCAAAATCTCTTTTAATAACACAAAATAAAATAATTAACTTTACATTCTATTATTTTTAAATTTTGAACACTAGTTAATAATAATTTTAATCATTATATAATTTACTTATAACAAACTTTAACATTTAAATTTAAAATAAATTCAATTTAGTTTATAGCCTCTAGATCTTTTTCTTTCAAATAGCGAAATCCGATACCGGAAGTTGTTTGGTCCAGATCTCTTCTCTTATGGACTCGGGTTATTGTTGGGTCAAGTCCAAATTAAATATCTATTTGGATAATAATTGAGCGATAAGATTTACCCGAAATATTAGATGTCCACCAAATACGTGGTTAAAGATGATTCAACTAACCATATCATATGTATTTTACGATAACTTTCTATGATTATTATTTTAATATCTATTTAAACCGCATTTATGATTTTTACCAATCAAACTATTGTCTTGCACCGCATGTTGTATTTTACACCAATCAACTATTGTTTTTCTCCGCGTTTTTTACATAAACCGCACTTGTTCCACATAATATATTTTTCTGCACGAACCGCATTTACACTGAACCGCATTATGCAATTTTTCTATCCCCGCACAATTCAATGCCACCAAGTCTACCATCTTCAACTTTTTTGTTCAGATTTAGAAGCTACATGCACTAAGTACAATGTGTAAAAAAAAAGCTAGCATTAAACCTTGTTAAAAAAGTGAAATTGATCTTTTTGAAGATTTTCAATATTCCAAACCATATTCTACATTATTATAACGGAGTTTCATAGAATGAAATCTCCAACTTAGTATTCGAATGGTGACACTGAATTGTGCGGTGCGGGTAAAAAAATTGTGCGGTGCGGTATAATACAACTGCGGTTTGTGCGGATTGCTGAACAAGTGCGGTTTGTATAAAAAAAACGGGACGAAACAATGTTTGATTGGTGAAAAAAAATGATGTGCAAAACAATTGTTTTCAACACTTTTTATAAGTGAAACAAATTTTTTTTTTAACAAACACATATTTTACATACAAGAGTTATCTATATATATTTTTTTCAAATTTTTATAACGAAAAAAATAAAAACCGCAGTCGAACCGCATCAAATATGGAGCTTGTAAAATATGCACCGCATTTTAAAATTTCTGTTTTTAATAGGTGATTTTGGAGGAAGCAGCTGCCAAAAGAAAGCTTTGGTTCGGTGGTTGGTTCCGTTAGGGTTGGAGGAAGAAGAAAGAGTTTCTGGTTTTGCTCTATCATTGCTTTCTGTTGGATTCTCTTTATTAGTTGGATATCTTTTGTTCTCTTGATCAGGGATCCAAAACTGAGTACTTCTCTGGATATCTTTTGTTCTCGATCCAAAACTGAATAGTTCTCTAGTTATCTTTTGTTCTCTGGATTCTCCTTATCATCAGGGATCCAAAACTGAATAGTTCTCTAGTTATCTTTTGTTCTCTGGATTCTCTTTACTAGTTGGATATCTTTTGTTCTGTGGATTCTCTTTAAACTGAAAAGTTCTCTGGATTCTCATATGTAGTTGAAGTTGTTTCATGTTTGACTGGAAACATAGAAGGGAAAACAAGATTGAAGTCTTTATTAATACAGGTTGAACAATATTGGGTTGTTTAAAAATGTTGGACCAAACCAATGGTTACTAATTTCAGTCTAGATTTGCTCTGCAAATTCAAATATGGTTGCACTAAACTCGATTCAGTTCAGTTTTTCCATTTTCAAATTCAACTAAACTACTTATCAACATTTATATATCAGGAACCGAACATATGAGAGACAGAGAGGTGTGGAAGAAGAAATTGAATCAGTCAAGAGTTTTGATGGGGAAAAAAAAATGCGGGCTAGTTTTTGCAAC